CCTCTGTGTTTCCTCCTTGTTCAGGGCTCCTGTTCCCTCCTTGTGTCTTTTTCGGTCCTATTCCGCGCAGTGGCTTCTCCCTCCCCTTGCCACTCTCTTCTCCACTTTCCCGCCCTCCTCCCCTCCCTCCCTCGCACCCTGCCTCCTTCCTCGCTATCGGGTGTTTTCGTCCTCTACCACCAACTTGACGTCCTCTGTGTGCAGTTGCACTCATGAGCCTTCCTTGTCACCCCGACCGCCCCTCTTCCTGTCTCTTTCCCCTTCTTTCCCCCATCGTCCAGGATGACGAGCGGAGGAGGAAAGACGTCCAAACCTTCTTCGCTTTGAGGGTACGCGATCCTCGCGCAATACTTATCTCCGCCCTCCCTTCCTCTCTTCCTCTTTCTCTCTTTCCCTTACCTTTCTTATGTGTCTCTCCTACTTTTCCTGTACCTGCATGTCCTCCTTCCCCCTCTTCCCCTCCTACAATAGCACTTTTTCCCCTCTCGTTCAGACCACAATGCTTTAAACCTACCTCCTACCCTCCCTCCCTCCCTCCCTCCCTCTCTCTCTCCAGGCGGATGCCCTCGCCTCCCTTCCCGCCTGGGCCGGGCGAGATCGGCCTCCGGTTGATTTGGAGAAGCTTTGGCCGCATTATCGTGGGATCGTGGCGAAATACCTGCCAGAGAAATTGGTATGGTAGTTTTTCCCATTTTCCCTCCCTCTTTCCTCCCCTTCCTCCCCCCTTCATAACTATGATTCCTGCTGCTAAAGGACCTGAGCTGACGGAGATGGAAGATCTTCTGCATCTTTTTCCGTGTCACACGTCTTATTTCGTGTGGAGTGACAGGGTGGTGAGGTCGTGACTTGGAATACATAGCGGGGGCGGATGTGTTGATGAAAGAAGAAGGAAAAGCGAGAACCAGATGAGGAGTGAAAGAGATCGCGCGGGCAACTTTTTACGAGAGACAGAGAAGGCGAGGCGTCGACAGGGACCAAAAAGGAATGAGCACCGTGGTGTGGTTTGGAAAAAAAGAAAATCGATTTTTTAAAGAATGAAGAGGAGGGGATATTTCAAGGAAGGAGGGCAAAGGACCTAGATGAACGGAAAATCATGCGATCCACCTCGTTTACAATCATACGTCATGCGGTCTGTCTGAATCTGATTGAACCAGAGCTGAATAAGAAGATATAGGTGTGTTTCTACGGCATGCGACAATAGCGTCAGATGAGAACTGATCTCGCAGAAGAGGCGAGGAATGCAATGTACATAGAAAGGATAGCTTAAGAGTTTAAAGAGGGGTCGCAAATATGGAAGAATGATTGCAGTGTTTCAAAAAAGGAAACACAGGCGATATATGTGGAGGGAGAAAATTTCAGAGCAGGGATGACGAGGAAGGCCTGTCACTTGTAAGGCAATGTACGCATATTTAAAACCTTAAACAAATTAATAAATATCTACACCTGAGTTAAAGCTGTAGGCTGTTAACAAGCATGTGAATTAAATTTGCAGTTGGTCCACGTGTAAATTTGTCAGACCTCTGTTGTGGTATCGGACTTTTCACTGCGCCCGTCAGGATGGTGTGCGTATATCCCGACGGAATCTTCTACTCAAATGGGGCCCCAGAAAGGGATGACGAGGTGATCATGGTACATGCCCATCAGTCTAGTACGAGCTCTATTAGGCATATGTAAGGGAGAACCACCGACAAGAACGGGGGACATAGCAATTGTATCACTGGTCCAAGTCGTTCTGACGCTACAAAACCTTAACCTTAAACCTGAACCCTGACCTTCGACAGAAAAGCCCGACACCACCCTCCACATACCCAATGGCCTTAGTCAGCAATGGTGGCCCTTTGGTAGTCGACGAGACACGAACACTTGGTGCCTGTAATGTCCTGATAGACTCAATAGTCGTGGATCTGTGTTGTCGTTTTGCGAGCGAGAGGACTTGAAGCAATGGTGTGTGCAACAATCAGCTTCAAAAAATTCCGATCCCCATGCCAGAGACCGAACATGCGTCGTCGGCCTCAGGCGCAGAGTCGCAGTGTCGCCCCCCCCAAAGGTGAAATGAGGCGCTCTTCGACAGAGAAAGAGCACACCATCATAAATCACTCTTTGATGACCAGGTGGTATATTGTGAAAAAGACGACCTATCATGCAAAAAAAAAGTGCGGCCCGCATACTTCCTCATGCTGTCCGTCTCGTATAGTCTGCCCACCGGGGTTTTTTTGGCGTGTGATGTAGGAAGGACGACACAGTGGCTTGCTTACTTTTCATTAAATTGACCTTATGACTAGAATTTAATATGGATAAACGTATCTATGTGGGAATTAGCTGTGTATAGATGAGTTACATGTCTCAATCAAGGCCTTTGGGACCTTGCCTCGAAGCGCCTCCGTCCTGACACGAAGCGTCCACCACTCCCATACAACTCGGGCTATCCTAGCCTGCACTAAAGGTAGTTTCACGTGCTAAAGGGTTGAATATATTTAAAAAAAGGAATGGCATACCTGCTTCTTTTGCCGGACCCGTTTTGTCCTTTCTCACCTTCACCCTTCCTCCCCCTCTTTCCTCTTACTCGCGTCCCGGACGCCCAGACCCAAGACACTCTGAAGACGGCATGGGATGGTGTCCAATCCATAGATGTGTTTTCCGGAGGGATCTACCCGCCCTTTGTCAAATCCTTTCGGAAACACCTCGCGTTCCACCCTCCGCAGCCACCTCCTCGCTCTCCTTCCCCTCGTCGTATGTCCTTCCCTCCCCCACCACCCTCCGGCTTCCTACCTCCTTCATCGACGAGCCCAGCGCCTTCAATTGCACTGCCTTGATGCTGGCCGTGGGCGAGGGGCTGGGTGCGATGGCGATGATCCTGGTGGCCCACGGCGCGGACGTCAACCTCCGCGACGACAACGGACTAAGTGCCCTCTATCTCGGGTGCATGCGAGGTGATGATAGCTTTCACCCTTTCCCATCTGCCTATGCCTAAGAACTTCTTCTAGATCGTGACCTTCATGAGCTTAGCCATCTTCTTTATTCCCCTCTTAGGTCATGCCTCGATCGTTTCCTTCCTTCTCTACAAGGGTGCCGACCCCACGGTCACGTCGCAGAGGGACAACACTTCCTGCTTGCACATCGCGGTCCTCCACCACTACGCCCACTGCGTCCATGCCCTCCTTCACGGCCTTCCACCCGACCTCCGTCAAGCCCTCCTTCAGCACAGGGACGCATTTGATCACACCGCGTTAGACTACGCCGTTGGTGGGTGCATCCATCAGAATTTTTAAAAATTGTATGCTTATGTCTTACGTAACGTCGTTCTTCTTCGGCCTGAGTTTGCTGCTTCTTGCATCTCTCCGTGCTTCACACTTTGTGTTCCCCTCACCCTCCTTCCTCGCTTCTTCCTCCTCGCCCGTTCTGGACTCCCCCCCTCCTCTTCTTTTATCCTATTATCCTATTCGCCCCTTTCGTTGTCCCTCTGCCCTGCGCATGGATTCGATCGTTACTAAGCTCACGCACAAAATATCTTTTCCGGCCCATCCTCCCCCCTTCCCTCCTGCCTTTCTCTTCTCCCTCTCGCTTCCTCTTGCAGAAGCCTCCTTCGTTTCCTCCTTTGCGTCCGCTCATCACGCTTCTTACTCTTCATGTACTTTGCTTTATCTCCCTCTTGCTTCCTTCCTTCCTTCCCTCCCTCCCTTCCTTCCTTCCTTCCTCCCGCCCGCCCGTCCTCCCCCGCTTTTTTGCAGCCAGAAAGACTACCCGGATTGGATGCAGCTCCTTGGCTTTCTCAATGGTCT